ACGGTTTTATTTAGCTCACTCCGTTTGTTTTTTTTATTATTTATTCTTGGGTCAAATTTAGTAATTCACACCTTCTTCCTGTCAACCGATTAATCTGAAATTTTGTATACACTTTTGATTTTGGTGACAATACAATTATGTTTATTCATTATCATTATAAATCCAAAATGGCGGCCGCTACAAAATGGCGGATAACGAAGGTTTTACCAATCCCATCATCATCAATATGGGTATCAAATGAAAGGGCTCAACAAGCAGAGTACAATATAGCTACTATAAACAATTTAAATCCAAGATGGCGGCCGCTGCAAAATGGCGGATAACGTAGGTTTTATCAATCCCATCAATATGGGTATCAAATAAAATTGCTCAACCAGGAGAATACAATGTACTATGAAAAAATAAAATCCAAGATGGCGGCCGCTACAAAATGGCGGATAACGTAGGTTTTATCAATCCCATCAATATGGGTATCAAATGAAAGTGCTCAACCAGGAGAATACAATGTACTATAAAAAAATTAAAACCAAGATGGCAGCCGCTACAAAAATGGCGGATAACTTTTAAGGTTTTATTAATCCCATCAACATGGGTATCAAATGAAAGGTCTCAACATGTATGTATTCTACATGTTGAGCCCTTTTACTATGCAAAACTGAAATCTAAAATGGCCGCCGCTACCAAACGGCAGATAACATTTTTTTATCAATCCTACCAATGTGGGTATCAAATAAAAGGGGATGAAAAGAAGAATACAGTGCACTATACAACTTCAATATTTAAGATGGGCGCAGCCACTAAATGGCGTATAATAATAAGATTTAAATTAAGAAATTAAAACTGTAATTTAGGTATCTGAATAATCCAGCCTGAATCCACCACCCAAGTCAAGATTTTGTATCGTGTTGAGGACTGTGTGGCGTGAGGGTGGCTAAAAATGATACGTCGTTAGCGGTGTATATGCGTGCGCATATTAAGAGAACATCAAGTTTCAGCCAGCGAATGCGTATTCAGGCTATGCCATTTGAGTATGCGTGACAGCTCGAGAAAAACATTTTTTGTCAATACTCGTAAGGCGGAACAAAGGTATAAAGTGTTGAAGTTTAATGAAGCTGGTCAAGCAGCAGGATATTGAGCCAATATTTTCGAACGATATGAAAAGCGACCAGCAGAGCACCCCAACTATGATTTTAAACAATATGTGTCTCATAGAATTTGCGATGTTATTTGAGCCACACTACACAAAACCGCCAGTTATAAATGAAGAGAGCATCGATACCGATGCTTATGCACCGCACGAGCAAACAACAAGAAGGCGTCTTATAACTTTAACAGACAACACCAAAATGACTATTAGAAACACGCCAGCTGTAGAACGGGTACCTAACTTCGTAGCAGTTTCTGATCCAGAGTCATATTATTACACTTTACTAATCCAGTATATGCCGTATCGCAATGAGGCCGCACTTTTAGGAGAATTTAATAGTGCCAGAGATGCGTTTCTCGCCAACGAAGAAAGTTTAAGACAAACAAACGCCTACTTGGAAATATATCGTGAACGTGACAGGCAGCTTGAAAATGCATTCGCACAAGTACACGCATTTCAGATACTGGAACATGCAGAGCCGATGCAACTAGACCATGAAGAAGAAGTTCCTTATTTGCCAATGAATGAAGACCAGTTCTCACAGGCTAAGCAGTCTATGAATGCAGGACAAAAGGAAGTTTTTACATTAGTTACGCAGTCCATACAAAATCAAATGCCAGGTGCTGAAGAACGTTTAATTTTATGTTATAAGTCGGCAAACGAGCGGACGTACGATAGGAGAAGGGGAGGGATTGTGATTGAAAAAAGTGTGTCCGTTCTGCTGGTTCTTAGCAAAGTGTTAATGCTATGTCGGATGCTTCATCACTTTGATAAACATGCCATCTTCCATCACCAACAACATGGTTTCACTAAAGGTCGTTGTACAACTGTCGCCGGTGTCACTTTGATAAAGGAGGTATTCTATGCTTGGGAGGAAGCACAGGATGATGTTGGTGTCTTTTGTCTCAAAAGCGTTTGATTGCTTGATCATGAAACACTTTTGTTGAAATAAGATCATTACGGGATTAGACATACTGCACTCCATCTATTAAAATCATATTTAGAGGATAGGCAGCTAACAGTTCATGTAGGTGGTTCTATCTCACATGGCTCTGAGATAAGAATGGGCGTACGAATTCCGTAGCGTTCAATATTGGGTCTGTTCCTCTTTGTGGTGTATGTTTATGGTTAAACTGAACCAAGAATGGTGTTGTTTGCAGATCATCATTTATTTTTAAAATAGATCGACGTGTTAATAATTTTGACGAAGTAAACAGATCCATTCATCAAGTTCACGAGAAAAGAACAAAATGTATCAAATTTAGCTTGCCCAACGTACACAGTAATGATTATGACATAATTTGAAATGGACAAAAGTTAGAATTTGGTAACAAGACTGTGTTCCTAGGTATTACGCTAGACAATAAACTTCAATGGGGTCCCCACATAAATACGCTTTCGGGAAGACTAAGCTCAGCTGTTTCAGCAGACAGATTAGACAGCTCACAGACGTGAACACAGCAAGGCTTGTCTATTTTAGCTATTTTCACAGCATTATGTCGTACGGAATTTTGCTAATTTTGCGAGCTGTGGAAGTAGATTCAATATTTATTCTGCGAAAGCGGGCTATCCCAGCGATATATAACTTGCCCTATCGTGAATCTCTGACAGAATTATTTAAAACAATAAATATCCTAACGGTACCTTGTCAGTTTATATATGAAAATATTATGTACGTAAGGAAAAGTTTGCAATTATTTAAAAAAAGAAGCAAAAGACATAATTAATACTTAAGTCAGAATTTTAATTCGATTCCAGATTTCACATTAGCCACTGTCATTTTGTGAAATAATGATACCACATATAACAGTGTAGTGATGAACACAAAAATCGATAGACTATTCGTAAATCAGTTACAGGAAGGCATTCAAAAAATTACGGCTACCGAATGGTCTAAATGTTACCCATGTTGTCAAAGAAGAGGAAAAACTTTTATAAACTAGTTAAGTTAATTGACAATAATTATCACAGACACAATTCATAATAAATGTTATAGAAAGTAACGGCGATAGCGATAGCGATGACGGCGACAATTTATGAAATAAATTATTACCATAATAGATCACATTTTTTTATTAATTTCACACACAATAATAAAAGAAAAGTATCTTTAATTAATTGTCAAAAGTAAATTATCGGTTCAGAAATATTTGATTTCCTGATAAACTTAGTTTACGATAGTGAATTCATAAACGAAAGTAATCGATACTCACTATTTTACTTGTCATAACGTTGCAACACTGAAATTGACAAATCAGGAATCATCATCAACCCTGTGGTTGTTTCACGCCGGTTTGCTGTAAGGCCGTGGTATCACTCCGGTCGAGCCAACCCATTTGCGCCGAAGCATGGCTCTCACATACTTAAAAATAGTAGTATCTCTCAATTTATTAATATACGACCGAGATAGATTTGAGAGCGGCTGTGCGCCGGCTGAGCGCCAAGAATACCGCCCCAGGACCTGACGGACTGCATGCCAAGGTGTGGGTCCTGACCTCGGAGGCTCTCAGGCCTCGACTAATTGGTCTGTTCAGCGCATGTTTGGAGAGGGGCCAGTTTCCGCTGTCGGTGAAGACAGATAAACTGGTCCTCGCGAAGAACCCAAGGCGTCTTGCGAACTCTCCGTCTGCCTACCGGCCCTTTGTGCTGTTCGACGAGGTGTGAAGACTGTTCAAGAGGATATTCTCAGACCGCCTCGTTGGGTACCTGTCTGGAAGGGGGCCGAGTCGTTGTGGCGGTGTCTCTGGACATCGCCAACGCCTTCAACTCGTTACCCTGGAGCTGCATTCTGGAGGCACTCCGGTATCACCGAGTGCCTACTTAACTCCGTCGTGTAGTCGAGGCTTACTTGACGGACAGATCCGTCATCTACCCCGGTCACCGGAGCGTGTGGAATCGGCGAGAGGTGTCGCGCGGTATCTCACAGGGATCGGTCCTGGGACCTCTCCTGTGGAACATCGGGTAAGGTTGGGTGCTATGCACCGACCGCCTGAGCGGTGACAGCATTGTCTGCTATGCTGACGACACGCTGGTACTGGCGAACGGGAAGTCGCATCAGGCGGCGGCCGACCTGATGTCACAAGCGGTTGCGACAGTTGTTCCAAGGATCCGGCAGTTGGGATTCGAGGTGGCGCTCCACATTTCCGAGGCCATGTGTTTTTATGGCCGTCGGAACCCGCCACCTCGGCGTCTAGTCGGCGATTTCCGTCGTTTGGCTCCCAAGTTGGAACGGACTGGGGCCGCACTCAAGCGGCTCCTTCCCATGGGGATCGTGCATCTCAAAGTAAAAGTACCTAAATAAAGTGGCCCAGGATGCTAGCATATCCATTGGCGTGCCACAGGGTTAGATATTAGGTCCCTTCCTCATTTTGGTCTACATAAATAACTTACCTCATTTATTTCAATGTGAATCAGGAATAGTATCATTTGAAGATGACAGATCGTTAATTTTTAAAATAAATAGACGGACAAAGAATCATGGCGAGGTAAATAATGCTATAGCGAAGGTTGATAATTGGTTTTCAGTGAACAATTTAGTACTAAATGACAAAAAGACGCAGGAGACCGCCTGACGCAGGTGCTTACCGGGCACGGAAGCTTCAGTAGGTTTCTGTTTCGGATCCGATGATCAGCCGGGCTTGCGGGACAAACGCAATGAGGTACCTCGACCTCGGCCGATAGCGAGACTAGGAAAGGGGGGGTTTAAGTCAGTATAAACAAAACTTTTTTACTAATCCGTCTTCACACTCTCTTGCAGTAAAGCACTGAAACGATGCAATTATATTGTGATACATTTATGTACAAATCATTTAACCAATCGTTACAATTTTCTTGGTTTAGATGGCATGATCTAATAAAGTAAATGGTGAAATATTGTATCTTTATATATTTGGCTGCAGTTGCATAATTATTATAATAACAAACTATCACAGAAGAAGTATATCATTTTTGCTGTAAAATGCACAAACATTGCGAAAGAAACCACGTGTTTATAGCCATAAAATTTGGCACAGGGATGAAATAGTTGAATTAAATCACGAGACATTGGTGTGAACTGTATTTAAGCGGTCTAAAACTTTACTTTGGCAATCAAAGTAAAACTTAGAATCTATTTCGCTTTCGTTACAACATTAAGAAACTGATGGCTGTAATGATGGCCAGATGGAAGACGTTGACTCGCAGTGTCGTGCAGCTGGATTAGGCCCCAAGCTTAGCTGCATGGGCTATCGCGTGGAACACGTAGTGCTGCTCGTGGACGTTGTGGAATAAGTGGGAATACGGACCTGCGAAAAAAGGGTTTCAGTTATCATATGGGTCTTGAATTGGTCCCCGAAATATATTCTATTTTAGGGTAGAATAAAGCAGAACATAAATCAGTAGGCGTCCATTTTTTACATTTGATTAAGGTTCAGTTATGCTCCGTAGTAACGAATTTAAAGAGAATATTGTATTGTGTGTGGCTCGTAATTTTTCTCACGTCTTGTTTAAGAAAACGCTTAAATAGCAAAACGTTTATATTTTGTCTCATTACCTACTTCTGTCTGTTTAATTTTTATCTTAAACAGATAAACGTTTCAAATACGAAATCCGTCTCACCTCTAGCATAGACAGTGACATCGCCGCCTCCATGGTAATTCTCCACGAGCTGAATGCCAGCGACCTGGGTGTATTTGTAGTCCTCCGTGTCATCCTCGCTAGGGTCTCGTCTCATCACACGGCTGCCGTTAGCGTCAGTATGCACGTAGTACTGGAACGACCCTGGACCTCCCGTGGCATAGGATAACGTTGTGTAGTTTATTTTATCGTGGCTCGAAGGTTGGGCGATGCCTGAAATTGATAGGATAGCGTTAATATTCAGTTGTGCACCAAATTCTGCAGGTAGATTCAGACTTGGGTAGGTAATAGAAACAGGACCCGAGTGTAATTTTTTTCATAGCAGTGGTCATTAGACCGACAAAGTTCTATGATTAAGCCCTTCAGCGACAGTGGAAGCCTGATGTAGAAGTCGGTGATTCATTTTATAATATGTGTATCATGTTTAAAATTGGAATTTGAACTTCTGAAAGTAATTATCTTCTTTCTTTTGTTTTGAGGTCGCATTTAGGATTCGACAACAATACCGCATTGTGTTCGAAGATAATTTTATTCAGGATTTTACCAAAAATACTGCTCCCTCTATCTGGGTAGCCATTAATAGACAGTGAGTGCGTGTGATCGCTGGTGACTATCAGCAGGGTGTCCTCCGCATCAGTCATGTCGGCTGCGAGCTGGACAGCTTCTTCCATGGCTAAAGCCTCGTTCACTGCTATCTTGGCCCAGCCTCTGTGATGGGCCATGTCTAAGTTGCCACCTTCTACCTGCGGATGTCAAAAAATATGGTCAATATCAGTCCATTTGAAGATCATCTTATAAGCTAAATACCAAACGAGATGATGCTAGCAGTTTTGGCAAGAATCCGGTCACTTCACTGTTTTGTTTTGTTATTGTTTCCCGTTGGTTATTTAATCTGTTATTTAAAGTCAAATCACATTGGCTAGATGGCATACCATGGTATTATTGTGACTCTTGTTAGGATCTACTGTAGATACAACCATGAAAACACCGGAACACTGAAATCCGGTGCGTCCCAGGCACACAAATGACTGTCTTGGATCCCACAACGAAATAAATCAGAAGATATTATTTGAAGAGAAGGAAAAAACTTAATAGTTTCCACTTCCCCCGGTAAACTGAATGCAGGAGACAGAATGACTTAAGATATTATTGTGACTGCTAAAAACTACTACAAAACATTGGTGATTCTTTAAACATATTTTTGGTTTCACAAACCTAATGAAATAGTTAATTGTAGTATTGGCTATTCTATACTGACCATGAGGAAGTATCCATTCTTATTCTTCTGCAGAACTTTAATAGCAGCTCCTACCATCTCTGATAGTGAGGGCATTCCTTCGGGCCCCTTGTTTCTTTCGTGCTCGTAGCTCAAGTGCTCGTTCGAGAATATTCCTGGAAGAAAGTGGGCATTAATTATAAGAAAAAGTAGATTTGTATGTCGTATGTCGCGGACCGCATTATATTTTCTGTGCCTATTCAAGGGAGTATGATTGCTAATCTAGTTGAAATAAGGTTATAATGCATTGGTCATTTCGGTCGGTGCCGGGACAATCTCTTTTGCCAGCCGTTAGAGTTTGTGAATTAAAGAACTAGACATAATTATTGCATTGAGGGGAAAAATATCAACTTACCAAGTAAATAGTCCGTGTTACTAACATCTAGTTCTGCTAGTTCCTTATTGTTCATGATCACGCTGTGCTTAAGTCCTCGCGTGCTCTTATCCGTCTTGTACTGCTCGATGAGGTTCCTTCCATCTTGCCGGTAGCAGGTCCATGGGCTCAAGCTAATAGGGTCGTGTTCGGTGCCTGTTGCGTTCGACACCAATTGTTGCCTGCCACCTCCCATTATGACCTGGATATTTTCAAGGATAAAGATTAGTAGCGATAACAAAGAACCTTCGACTTTCGACGTATTATTAACGCGAAAAGTAATTATTTAGTGCAACCACGTCGAAACTTCAAGCTTTCCAATCTTTTGAAATTATTACCTGGTGAGAACATAATACTTTTAGAATTTAATCAAAATGAATGTGTGGAAGAGTCCATCTTCGACATGAATGGATCTGCTCGACCAGATCACGACCTCACAGAAAAGCGGCACGAAACAATCAAAGTGCTGGGTTTCGCCGAGTGAGTAAAATTACCGGAGCGCGGAGGTTTAATCCCTAAAGCTAAGAAATTCTAATCGCTAAAAAAGCCGGCAAGGCATGCCTAACTCCTTTGGTGTGTGGTGTGTTGGGGGTGTCCATGGGCGGTGCCGATTGCTTACCATCAGGTAACACGCTCGTTTGCCGTCCTACCACATACAAAGAGCAACATTAGCATTGTGTATTAATATCGACACATCATACCAGCTAGGAGACGACTTAATGCCTCGTATTTTATCGTGCAAACATTAGGAATAAGATGCTCACTTGTAGGTCTCGGCCAGGCCAGTCCTCGACCAGTTGTCTAGCAATGTCCTTGCAGCTGGAATTGTCCGGCAGACTGGCCTCGCACTCCCAGCTGCGGCTCGCACTGTGCGCGTATAGAGGGCTGGGAGTCCCGTGCGTCACCCGCATTGTTGTAACAAAACCTACAGCACAGATGATATAATTCACAACACAATACATAAACAAATCAATCGGAAAAAAATATATAACTTTTAAGTTTAGTCATATTTTGTTTATTAATTCGTATTTTATTTTAAAATTTTAATTTTGTTAAACACAAGGTAATTTTTAACCTATTTGTACGTGTGACAACATTGTCGCATTAGGTGGCGTACGTGTTAAGACGGTGTTGAACAAGAATAAATAAATAAATAAATAAATAAAAAATAAGTCACCTGCACTCTTATGAGCTTCTAAAGCTAAAGCTGCTAAGGACTTAAGCCTAGCCTCGGACTGCAGGCTGGCTTCACAATCCCTGTGTGGCACGGAAGCGTCCACTCCTACTGTATCCTGGTTGACCTTCACTCCACTGAACATGGCTGTAGCCGTGCAAGCTGAGTCCGGCACCATCTTATTGGCCGAGTATGTCTGGAAAGGCAGAGGTTTTTCTCCGGTGTCGTGGGTGCGTTACAAACAAACAACTTCTATTAAACAACATTTCCGGAAACAGTATTTCCGGAGATTAGCGCGTTTATGGAAACAAATTCTTTAGCTTTATAATATCAGCACAGATTTAAACAAAATTTACCTTCAAAAGTCCCATGTGTGGGAACTTCTCATACACCAGCCTGTGGCTTTCACCACCTTTGTATATCCTGGCTGCGGTCACAGTGTTAGGTCCCATGCCGTCTCCAACGAACAGGATCACGTTCTTCGCAGGGTTGAGGTTCCATTTTACTTTTAGAGCTTCTTCTAACTCATTGTGTGCCAGGTCCGTCCAGAACTGACGATCTAAGGAACATTTGAAAATAGAAGTTTAACAGCCTGTTTCAACGCGTTCGTATCTATAGACTTTTAAGTAATTATATGGCAACTGTTTCCCAGAAATTACGTTCCATGTTTAATTTTTTTTTGTACATAGTGGCGACCGACACGTTGTGTGATAGACTACGAGGTCTAAGTAGATACTTCATTGTCGACTTAATGGCGATGGTAATCTTTCATGCTGTTTCTCGGGACCTTTCGATTTTTATATAGCCTAGCGTCTATATTCTTAAAGAACGACACCATAAAAGTACCCAATTAGGTTACTGAAATAATTGCTATAATTATTATTACAAGTCAAAATATATTTTCTGCAGAATGTTTGTTATAATCATCATCATCGTCAGCAGGAAAACGTCACTTACAAAAAACCACATAACCAAATGTTTGAAATGTAATAATAATGATGAAAACGATTAATAATATTAATTAAATAATAAAATTAACCTTACCCGTGCGTAATGCTGATCGTACGGTGACGATGAAAGCACACAACGCGAGTATACTGTGCGCGCGCATGTTTAACACTAAGATCTATACGTTACCGCGTGAACTGTCGCACTCGGCGTCTGCGATGGTTAGGCAAGTCAATCCGTGCGACTATATACAGAAAGCTTACAAGATTATCACTCACAGATTACAGGGATTACAAAATGCGATAATATTAATTTATACTAGCGAACTCCCGCGGCTCCACCCCCGTGGATGTCGGGCACGCTGTTATTGCAGCGGTAAGACTTCTCTTTGAGGAGTGGCTTGAGAAACGCCACGGCGTCCTCACCTTCAGTCTGACGCAGGTGCTTACCGGGCACGGCAGCTTCGGTAGGTTCTTGTTTCGGATCCAGCCGGAGAGAACGTTCACCTGGCTGTCGTATGACATAGCGGCGTCTATCAGAACCGTGTAAAGTCATCCGACTCTCACCACTAAAGATAACTGACTCCCATTGGCCTATAGTTGACGAGATTCCATGCAAATTGAACAAGCCAGAGCTTGTCGATGAGGTGTGGTCATTTGTGGTCCCCCACTGCTGGCTTGTGTGGTCTTAAATTCTGGTCATGAAGTCTCCTTCTTAAAGTAATTTCACTTATAGCCACACCCCGATCTTCACGCAAGCGTCGCTGGAGATTAACACCAGAAAGGTGTTGAGTTTCTAGAGCCGATACCACAATAAAGTTGTAGTTTTTTTTTATTTCTCACCCTGTGTCTTCCAGATCCAAATCTTCTTCGATACTGCCCAGTCTCTAGATACCTTTGGTAAACTCGCTGAACTGCAGAACGGCTGAGATTTAACCTTCTGGCCACGACACGTTGGCTTAAGCCTTGTTGCAATAAAGCTACAACTTGGGCCGCTTCAGCTTCAGTGGTGTCCATAGTTTTTGGACAGAATTAATCAGAATTACAGCCTCAGTAAATAAACTTAACGTCATTTACAAGAGTTTTATAGTAAAGTCTGTTTCGGACTGGGAACACAGGTCGGTATCGTAGGTATAAACCTACTATAAGCAATGAGGTGTCTTTAACCGTAGACGGCCATCGCGCGTAGCGAGAGGAACTGGGAAGCGCGTGAGGGAGCTAAGATAGCTCCCTCCTCACGCCCCAGCTGCCGCAGTTGGCGACATACAAAGTAAATCAGTCTGTAACATCAAAACCACTGATCGCTGAGGAAGAACATATTATGCTACTTTTTTACAAACAAATAAAACGCGGACGAAGTCGCGGGCAAAAGCTATTAAAAAATAAATCTTTATTGCTCTAATTGTCGTTAAACACAGACAAGTATATTGGCACAATCGGTATTTGTTTTAAAAACGATCGATGACAAATGATTTTTATTTTGATTTTGTCAAAAGTCAAAATCACTTATTCCAACTAAACCATAAATAGGTACTTTTGAAACGTCAAAATCGAATAGTGAAGCTGCTCATTCCAAATTGTAGGCAGATTCGAATGGAGCCAAACGAGCAAGAACTTACATCGTTACTCTTTTTAAAAAAATATATTTCTTTTATAATTTCACTAATATATCATTTAGTAGGTATACATTATTGTACCCTTGATATTAAGAACAAATGATAGGATCTATCATTAAATTTTAATCCTTTGTCGTCTCGAACATGGCGCACATGTGCGTACTCACAATCTTTAAGAGTGCTTCTATATGAACTCTTTGGATATATAAATTAAGGATTCATTAATTTTGAGAATTTTAGTAACTAGGTACTAACTGTATTTGAGTTTTGTCCAATGGAGCCCAATCAACACGCTGCCAGGCATTCATTCTTATCCGCAATACAATCTGAAAGTTTGTAGTATGCCTGTCTACACAATTCGCGTTTAGTAAAAGTTTTAAATTTTCCTTCGTTAAGATTTAATTCACTACTTGGAATTTTATTGTAACAATTTACACAGAACCCCATAAAGGATTTCTGTACTTTGGACAGGCGGAATCGTGGCACAACCATCTTTGACTCTTGTACTAAAATTGTGTCTATCGCTTTTTTTTCAAAACATTGCAAATTTTTCCTCTCGTACATAATATTTTCATAATGTATAAATTGATAAGGCACCGTTAGGATATTTATTGTATTGAATAGTTCTTATTATAATGAACTTGATGAATGGAGCTGTTTACTTCGTCAAAATCTACTATTAGGACGTCGACCTATTTTAAAAATTCGGTAAAAACAATCGTAGTAGTAAAATTAAAATTAAACGAGGGTTTAGGCGGACTTTTGCTATCTTAATGAAGACTTGAAGAAGGAACGCGGAAAGAAACTACATTAAGTAAAAATATGCATTTAATAAATATAGGTTAAACATATGTTTACTATCCAAAAGAATCTGATTAACATCTTCTAATCAATGGTAATACATTAAATATCTAGTAGGTAAATCAAATGTAAAATTTATTAATTATATTAACAAATTGATTACAGTATTTGCAGTGTACGTGAAGATTCGAGACAGCACTTTGTGTTCCAAATAATGTGATAAGTTTAGACAAATAACTTATTGATACAATCTAGATTATTTTATGTGATAGGGCGGCAATCTAGTCTTCAGGTCACCTGGTGGTAAATAATTGGCGTCGCTCATGAACCTAGATGGAGTTTAGGTATTTGGGGACGGGGGAACGAGGAGGTTTGGGCCTCTGGTAACCTCACTTACTGAAAGGAACGCAAACGTTGTTTCACGCCAGTGGTATGGCCATGAAGCATGGTTCTTTCAGCAAGGGGTTTTTTTTTAATGTAATAGGTCGGCAAACGAGCAGACGGATTACCTGATGGTAAGCAATCAGCGCCGCCCATGGACACCCGCAACAGAGGATTTACGAGTGCGTTGCCGACCTTTTAGGGATTAGGGATTTGGAGATTTAGGAACTGGGGAGGGATTAGGGAAGGGGAAGGATTGGGGCTCCGGTAACCTCACTCACACGGCGAAACACAACACTGGTTGTTTCACGCCGGTTTTCTGTGAGGCCGTCCTATCACTCCGGTCGAGCCGACCCATTCGTGCCGAAGCATGGCTCTCCCACAATTTTCTGTTTTCCGTGACCTAAATGTTATCATACTTGGTTTCAATTTCCTAACCATATACAGACCCAAGAAACGCATTATTAATCTTGGATTAAACAAAATTTGTTTATTAAAATTAAATCTATAATACGGTTATTCACGTAACTGCCTGACAAGTTACTAGTCTAATTTCAAGCCACGCTCAGGCACATAATTACTAAAATAATATTGATTGTGACAGACAAAAATTCTACAGATCACATTTTTGGCATCAGTATCGATCACTGATCACCCACTGATAGTTATTTTGAAAATACACTGGTCAGCAAAAGAAGTAGCCCACCTACATTTTGTTTCATATTTGTCGATTGTTTCCAATGAAAGCTGTTTTACACAGTTATTTTTTATTTTAAGAGTCAGTTATGATGTTTGACATCCTGTTTGTCGTAAATCTTATTGCACTTGAAGACACTTATCAAATGTTTATACAGAAATACTAGTGGTTTGATGGTTTACGTCGGGACAAATTCGATCTGTGTTCCCAGTCCGAGACAGACTTTATTAACTACTAGCTTTTGCCCGCGACTTTGTTCACGTGGAAAAGTTACTTCCTGCAGAATTTTGGAATAAAAACTATCCTATATCCTTTCTCGAGTTCCAAACTATGTCTGTACCAAATTTCACGGAAATCGGCTCAGTAGTTTAGGCGTGAAGAAAAGACAGACAGACAGACAGAAAGACAGACAGACAGAGTTACTTTCGCATTTATAATATTAGTTAGGATTAGGATGGAACTCTTGTGAATTACGTTAAGTTTATTAACTGAGGCTGTAATTCTGATTAATTCTGTCCAAAAACGATGGACACTACTGAAGCTGAAGCGGCCCAAGTTGTAGCTTTATTGCAACAAGGCTTAAGTCAACGTGTCATGGCCAGAAGGATGAATCTCAGCCGTTCTGCAGTTCGGCGAGTTTTCCACAGGTTTCTAGAGACTGGGCAGTATCGAAGAAGACCTGGATCTGGAAGACATAGGGTGACAAATAAAAGGGAAAACCGCTTTATTGTGGTATCAGCTCTACGAAATCAAAACCTTTCCAAAGCCAAGCCAGACTTCAATTTGCACGGAATCACATCAACTGATCTATAGGCCAATGGGAGTCAGTTAAAAAAGTCAAAAGTAAAAAAATCATTAATTCCCATTAGACCAACACAGGCACTTTTGAACGTTAAAGAAAAATTTTGAAGATATACATCATAGTGTCAGTCTGTCGGTCAGTCCTCTTAGTAAAGCTATTTGCTCGTTCCAAATTGTAATTTCCGATGGAGAAGAACGAGCAAGAAACTCCATGGTTACTCTTTTTAAATCAGTTTCACATACAGATTCCCTATAGAAACAGTTGGTTTACTTAACAGTGTAACACTAATATTTATTGAGAGAAATATAAAAAGAAAATAACCGTAAGGATAATAGACAGTCCGGAGCTGACCAGTCCCAACTGACGGCGCCTGTTCACGAACATGACACGTACACCAGCATCGCCCAACTCAACCGTATTATAGAGAACTAAGCGATCCACCATGCCACCACCAGTGTGACTTTTCAGTGAGCACGACCACTCCAAGCTGATAAAAGAACCAAAATTCTGGTAGTCTAACCAGTCGTAATAGGTTACAGGGCACTCACATTTACAAATTTATCAAGTTACAGTTATAAAATATAATGCAATTTCACTAAATTTGAGAAGTTCGGTCGCGGTGCCTCATTGCTCTTACCCCGCAACCCTGGCTGAACATCAGCCCTATAGGGCTCCGTCTGAGGTGGTCTGGTCGGGCGGCGAGCTGCCCTTACTCGCCGACCGCAGACTCGCGCCTATGGTGGCCGGAGATCGCCCCTTGATCCCCGACGCCCGTGGTGTCGCCTGTTGTGGCGGCTGGGTCGTGAGGAGGTGGATTGCTCCCTCACGCGGGCCCCCTCCCTCTTTGCGAGCATAACTGCTTCACAGAAGGAGGAGACGGCGTCCCAGTTCCTCTCGCTCCGCACTATGGCCTCGACTAAGGTCGGGCGCGAGAGGTCGCCACCGCCGAACACTTCCCTGAGGTGGCGGTGCTCAGCCCAGGGAGGGCACACCGCCACCGTATGTTCCACCGTATCCTCTAGGTGGTCCTTACAATGACGACACTCGTTCGTTTCCTCCCGCTGGATCCAAAACAGGAACCTACCGAAGCTGCCGTGCCCGGTAAGCAACCGCGTCAGGCGGAAGGTGAGGACGCCGTGGCGTCTCTCAAGCCACTCCTCAAAAAAGAGGGGTCTTACCGCTGCTATAACAGCGTGCCCGACATCCACGGGGGTGGAGCTGCGGGAGTTCGCTAGTATAAATTAATATTATCGCATTTTGTAATCCCTGTAATCTATGAGTGATAATCTTGTAAGCTTTCTGTATATAGTCGCACGGATTGACTTGCCTAACCATCGCAGACGCCGAGTGCGCCAGTTCACGCGGTAACGTATAGATCTTAGTGTTAAACATGCGCCCGCGCAGTATACTCGCGTTTTGTGCTTTCATCGTCACCGTACGATCCGCATTACGCACGGGTAAGGTTAATTTTATTATTTAATAAATATTTTTTATCGTTTTCATCATTATTATTACATGTCAAACATTTGGTTATATGGTTTTTTGTAAGTGACGTTTTCCTGCTGATGATGATGATGATTATAATAAACATTCTGCAGAAAATATCGTTCGACTTGTAATAATAATTATAGCAATTATTTCAGTAACTTAATTAGGTACTTTTATGGTGTCGTTCTTTAGAAATATATAGATTCTAGGATATATAAAAGTCGAAAGGTCCCGAGTAACAGCATGAAAGATTACCATCGCCATTAAGTCGACAATGAAGTATCTACTTAGACCTCGTAGTCTATCACACAATGTGTCGATCGCCACTATGTACAAAATAAAAAATATGGAACGTTATTTCTGGGAAATAGGTGCCCTATAATTAATTAAAAGTCTATAGATACGAACGCGTTGAAACAGGCTGTTAAACTTCTATTTTCAAATGTTCCTTAGATCGTCAGTTCTGGACGGACCTGGCACGCAATGAGTTAGAAGAAGCTCTAAAAGTAAAATTGAACCTCAACCCTGCGAAGAATGTGATCCTGTTCGTTGGAGACGGCATGGGACCTAACACTGTGACCGCAGCCAGGATTTACAAAGGTGGTGAAAGCCACAGGCTGGTGTATGAGAAGTTCCCACACATGGGACTTTTGAAGGTAAATTTTGTTTAAATCTGTGCTGATATTATAAAGCTAAAGAATTTGTTTCCATGAACGCGCTAATCTCCGGGAATACTGTTTCCAGAAATTTTGTTTAATAGAAGTAGTTTGTTTGTAACGCATCCACGAAACAGGACCTCTGCCTTTCCAGACATACTCGGCGAATAAGATGGTGCCCGATTCAGCTTGCACGGCTACAGCCATGTTCAGTGGAGTGAAGGTCAACCAGGATACAGTAGGAGTGGACGCTTCCGTGCCACACAGGGATTGTGAAGCCAGCCTGCAGTCCGAGGCTAGGCTTAAGTCCTTAGCAGCTTTAGCTTTAGAAGCTAATAAGAGTGCAGGTGACTTATTTTTGTATTTTATTCATTTATTCTTGTTCAACACCATCTTTACACGTACACCATCTAATGCGACAGTGTTGCCACACGTACTAATAGATTAAAAATTACCTTGTGTTTAACAAAATTAAAATTTAAAAATAAAATACGAATTAATACACAAAAACAAAATATGACTTAACTTAAAAGTTATATATTTTTTTCCGATTGATTTGTTTATGTATTGTGTTGTGAATTATATCATCTGTGCTGTAGGTTTTGTTACAACAATGCGGGTGACGCACGGGACTCCCAGCCCTCTATACGCGCACAGTGCGAGCCGCAGCTGGGAGTGCGAGGCCAGTCTGCCGGACAATTCCAGCTGCAAGGACATTGCTAGACAACTGGTCGAGGACTGGCCTGGCCGAGACCTACAAGTGAGCATCTTATTCTTAATGTTTGCACGATAAAATACGAGGCATGGAGTCGTCTCCTAGCTGGTATGATGTGTCGATATTAATACACAATGCTAATGTTGTTCTTTGTATGTGATAGGACGGCAAACGAGCGTGTTCGGTACCTGATGGTAAGCAAACGGCACTGCCCATGGACACCCCCAACACAGCACACAACAAAGGAGTAACGCATGCCTTGTCGGCTTATTTGATGATTAGGATTTCGGAGCTTTAGGGATTGGATTTGGAAAAAAAGGATTGTGCCTCCGGTAACTTAACTCACTCTGTGGAACACAGCACTGTGATTGTTTCATGCCGCTTTTCTGAGAGGTCGTTATCTGGTCGAACAGACACATTCATGCTGAAGCATGGCACATGTTCTTTGTTATCGCTACTAATCTTTATCCTTGAAAATATCCAGGTCATAATGGGAGGTGGCAGGCAACAATTGGTGTCGAACGCAACAGGCACCGAACACGACCCTATTAGCTTGAGCCCATGGACCTGCTACCGGCAAGATGGAAGGAACCTCATCGAGCAGTACAAGACGGATAAGAGCACGCGAGGACTTAAGCACAGCGTGATCATGAACAATAAGGAACTAGCAGAACTAGATGTTAGTAACACGGACTATTTACTTGGTAAGTTGATATTTTTCCCCTCAATGCAATAATTATGTCTAGTTCTTTAATTCACAAACTCTAAGGGCTGGCAAAAGAGATTGTGCTGCGCCATCCCGGCACCGACCGAAATGACCAATGCATTACAACCTTATTTCAACTAGATTAGCAAACATACTCCCTTGAATAGGCACAGAAAATATAATGCGGTCCGCGGCATACGACATACAAATCTACTTTTTCTTATAATTAATGCCCACTTTCTTCCAGGAATATTCTCGAACGAGCACTTGAGCTACGAGCACGAAAGAAACAAGGGGCCCGAAGGAATGCCCTCACTATCAGAGATGGTAGGAGCTGCTATTAAAGTTCTGCAGAAGAATAAGAATGGATACTTCCTCATGGTCAGTATAGAATAGCCAATAGTACAATTAATTATTTCATTAGGTTTGTGAAACCAAAAATATGTGTCGTGGTAGTTTTTAGCAGTCACAATAATATCTGTCAGTCGTGCTGTCTCCTGCATTCAGTTTACCGGGGGAAGTGGAAACTATTTCGTTTATTCCTTCTCTTCAAATAATATCTTCATGACAGTCATTCGTGTCCTTGGGACGTACCAAATTTCAGTGTTCAGGGGTTTTCATGGTTGTATCTACAGTAGATCCTGACTTACAGGAGTTGCAGCGGTTTTGAGATTTTATAAGATGATTTTCAAATGGACTGATATTGACCATATTTTTTGACATCCGCAGGTAGAAGGTGGCAACTTAGACATGGCCCATCACAGAGGTTGGGCCAAGATAGCAGTGAACGAGGCCTTAGCCATGGAAGAAGCTGTCCAGCTCGCAGCCGACATGACTGATGCGGAGGACACCCTGCTGATAGTCACCAGCGATCACACGCACTCAATGTCTATTAATGGCTACCCAGATAGAGGGAGCAGTATTTTTGGTAAAATTTTATATTAAATAATCTTCGAACACAATGCGGTATTGTTGGCGAATCCTAAATACGACCTCAAAACAAAAGAAAGAAGATAATATCTTTCAGAAGTTCAAATTTCAATTTTAAACATGATACACATATTATAAAATGAATCACCGACTTCTAAATCAGGCTTCCACTGTCGCTGAAGGGCTTAATCATAGTACTTTGTCGGGCTAGTGACCACCGCTATGAAATAAATTTCACGCGGGTCCTGCTTCTATTACCCAAGTCCGAATCTACCTGAAAAATTTGGTGCACGACTGAATATTAACGCTATCCTTTCAATTTCAGGCATCGCCCAACCTTCGAGCCACGATAAAATAAACTACACAACGTTGTCCTATGCCACGGGAGGACCAGGGTCGTTCCAGTACTACGTGCATACTGACGCTAACGGCAGCCGTGTGATGAGACGAGACCCTAGCGAGGATGACACGGAGGACTACAAATACACCCAGGTCGCTGGCATTCAGCTCGTGGAGAATTACCATGGAGGTGGCGATGTCACTGTCTATGCTAGAGGTGAGTCGGATTTCGTATTTGAAACGTTTATCTGTGTAAGATAAAAATTAAACAGACAGAAGTAGGTAAGAAAACAAAATATAAACGTTTTGCTATTTAAGCGTTTTCTTAAACAAGACGCGAGAAATATTACGAGCCACACACAATACAATATTCTCTTTAAATTCGTTACTACGGAGGATAACTGAACCTTAATCAAATGTAAAAAATGGACGCCTACTGATTTATGATCAGCTTTATTTATTTTTATATATATTTTTATATATTTATAGCCCCGAATTATATTCTTATTAAATTAGAATATAATTCGGGGACCAATTCAAGACCCATATGATAACCCGAAACCCTTTTTTCGCAGGTCCGTATTCCCACTTATTCCACAACGTCCACGAGCAGCACTACGTGTTCCACGCGATATCCCATGCAGCCAAGCTTGGGGTCTAATCCAGCAGCACGACACTGCAAGTCAACGTCTTCCATCTGGCCATCATTACAACCATCAGTTTCTTCATGTTGTAACGAAAGCGAAATAGATTCTAAGTTTTACTAAATAACGTCTACTTGAAATTATGTTTTCTATTCTAATTTTAGGGAGGGAGGAGTTTTCCTTCGCATTTGATTGCCAAAGTAAAGTTTTAGACCGCTTTAATACAGTTGACACCAATGTCGCGTGATTTAATTCAACTATTTGTCGCTTCTGCCAACGGATTCTCCCAAAATACCAGAGTATAAAGTGTGTTATTCTATACTATGATTATGTCTTTTATTTTTTGCCAAACTTATATAACTATCTATCTATCTCTTTGCCAAGTTTTATTCAGATCCAATCCAGACATTACTCTATATCTTTCCTGAATTTCATTCAGACTAGTAAAATAAGAGATACAAACATCCATCAAAATTCATCCATACTTAAATGTGAAAGACTTTTACTGATTTAAAAAACCCCCTGTTCCTCACCTGCTCTGGGCCGAGGTCGCGATGCTTCATTGCGCTTACCCCGCCGTTATAATTATTAGAATAGGGCCCAATATACTACCTTGGGGTACGCCACATTTGACATTTTTATATATTTAGACGTTTTACTCGTCTGTCGTCGTGTCATGTTCCTCTTTTCATTAAGCTTTGAGATAACTACACTCCGTTGTCTATCAGTTAAGGGTGATGATAGCCATTGAAGTGACAATCCTCTAATTCCGACGGACTCTAGCTTTTTCAATAATATTTTATGTGAAACTAGGTCAAACGCCTTTGACAAATCAAAAAATAAACCCGTTGTTAGGTAACTGTTATTGATACTCGTCAATACTGTTTTTAAGAGAGTAAAAAATAAAAATGGCTAAGGTGGTTGACTTTTGTTTTTGAAAACCGAATTGCTGCTTATTTAAAATATTGTATTTTTCACAATAACTAATTAATCTTTGGTACATGCATTTTTCATATACTTTTGAAAGGATAGGTATTAATGTTATTGGACGATAGTTGTCGCCTTTTTTAAAAATCGGCTTCACAAGGGACTTTTTTAAGGCATTAGGAAACACACCCTGTGGAAAGGATAGGTTGATAAGATATGTCAATACCCCGCTTATTTCACTAACACATGACTTAATTATTTTGGTGCTAAGTTCATCGTACCCCTCAGAACTAGTGTTATTTAACTATAAAATATGTTTTCTTACCTCACTTTCGGACATTTGCATGAGTTACTTTGAATTAGCAATTAGATTTTTATTAAAGCATTTGGTGTTACAGTTTTCCGTTAAGTTGCAATTTGCATAGAGATATTGATACTTAAAATATGGTCGATACAGGACAATTTACGAGTGGCTTCATTAATATGAATTTCAATATTATGACTACGTGCTATGTCATGAAATACTTGCGTGATTTTCCCTTTTTTGAAAGTATTATATTAAAATCATCTGTTAAAACTACACGTGTCTTTGTTTTGTATTTCTTGTAAATATGTATTATGTAGGATATTATTTAACTTACTTAAAAACTGGTTTGGGTTGGACTGAGGTGTTCTGTATATGCAGATTATGATTTGTTATGTATATGATATGTTTTTCATTTGTTAGTTCAATACCGTATCGTGTAGATATGTATATGATAAAGACTATTAAAAATTTTCACTGGAATATGATTCAGAATAAGGAGCTGATTGCACCCTGTTAATTTGTGGAGGGCTGTCCCTTACACCCTGTATATTTAATGCACAGAATTGACCTCTCTACAGATTGATTATAAGTATAGATGTCATATAAAACGAGAAAATTGTAACAGTTGTATAAACGATTTGTACAGAAATGTATCACAATATAAACGCATCGTTACAGCGCTTTACTGCAAGAGAATGTGAAGACGAATTAGTAAAAAAATGTTGTTCATACCTGGCTTTTATTTCCCACCAATAAACACTTGAATACAAATTTACGGTCCAATAAATAGACACTGAGTATAATAGATTATATCACTTTTCAAACGTTAACATTAATAAAGCACCTACATTATGCTTACAGCTGTTTAACTGTTTTTCATACATGAACGGTCAAAATTCGAGAAATTCACTTCTTTGCGACCACTGAAGCAACTCAACCTTCACGTTACGATACGGACAAATACATACAATTTTGATCCTTAAGTTCTCGAAGTAAATATTTATTTAAATAAGTTCACAGACGATTTATGATAATAGACGTTGTTCCAGGACCTCCTCTCTGTCACTGCTGCCAGAGAAGAGGTAATGATGGACTCCCAATAAAGGCTCCATTACGCCTCCTCCAGGTGAACATCAACCACTGCGCCGCTGCTCAGAATCTCTTGCTCCAAGGCATAGCGTTATGATCGATGAACGTTGCTGTGGTGTTGGAGCCGTACTTCGTTCCACCCAGAGATCAGTGGGTGTCAGACGGCTCGGTGACCATCATCTCGTAGGCCGCCGCCGGTACCCCAACCCCCGAGGGGTCTCAGCGAGGCAGGGGTTGCGTCGCGGCTCGGTGCGGAGAGATCGCCGTGGTGGGCGTGTACTTCTCCCCGAACCGAACACACGCCGAGTTCCACAATGCATTGAGGGAGTTAGTCACCGTCATCGTCGTATTCCGTCCCCTACCCGTGCTCGTCCTCGGGGACTTCAATGTCAATGGGGTAGGATGGTCGAAGTCTGGGCCCTGGAGACAGGGCCCTAGTCGTGCTGAACCGGGGTTCTGTACATACGCGCTTGCGGATGCGGGGCGAATCGGTGGTGGACATTTCGTTTGACAGCCCCGCTCTGACATCGCGCATTGTCGACTGGCGTGTCATGGAGGAGGTGGAGACATTTTCCATCACCAGTAATCATAATATGATGTTCTAAATATCCGGTATCACAATATCCGGTTCAACGTTTCCGCCGAGTCCGCAGAAACGCCAGTCAGACAGGCAACCTGTAGCCTGCGTTGGGCGCTGAGGCAGCTGGATTGGGAGCTGTTCCTGGAAGCCTCAGTCATGCAGGGCTGAGTGATACTACCGGCCAGGCCTGCTGATGTTAACGAGGAGGCAAGATGGCTTCAGGACACCATGTCCAGGATGTGCGACATGGCGATGCCCCGGGTCCGGCCGGTGTATTGGTGGTCGCGGGAACTGGCTGCTCTGCATGGTGAGTGCACCGCGGCGCGACGCCGATACACAAGGCACCGCAGTCTCCGTATCAGCGTCCAGAGGGCGTCTTTTGACGCTGAAACCAAAGAGGCGGAGCTGAACGAGGAGTACAGGGCGGCTAAGGCCACCCTCAGGGTAGAGATCCGGCGGGGCATAGGCCAAAGTTCGGGCCCGCGAGGAGTCGTAGAGACTCTGAACAGAGAGATCCGTTGGGACACCCGTACCGAATGGTGCCTACCAAGCTCCACACCTGGGCGCTCCCCCACTGACTTTTCCCCCGACCACAGACAGGTTACACGCCTCCGACTATATCTCCCCCCCCCCTGCGATGCTCAACGCGGGCTCAAAGACGACGACGTTGAATCTGTTCCGGAAGTGACTGAGGTAGATTTGAGAGGAGTGGTTCGCCGGTTGAGCGCCAAGCATACCAAGTTTTTTTTAAAACAAATTCTTTTTAATCTAAGTCTAATATCGTTTCTTTGTGTCTGTTTATAGTTAGGAAACTGAAACGTAATGCTTATAGGTTTTTTGAACGGCTATATGTGCGAAGCCAAGTATGACAACATTTAAATCACGGAGACCGGAACCCCTTGCTGAGAGAACCATGCTTCGTCACGAATCGGCCATACCACTGGCGTGAAACAACATTTACGTTCCTTTCAGTAAGTGAGGTTACCAGAAGCCCAAAACCTCCTCGTGACCTAGTGTAGGTATTTGGCGATGGGGGAACCCCCAAATACCTAAACTCCATCTGTGTTCATGAGCGACGCCAATTATTTACCACCAGGTGACCTGAAGACTAGATTGCCGCCCTATCACATAAAATAATCTAGTATTATCTAGATATACGATAGTATGAATAAGTAACTCGTTCTAAACTTATCACATTATTTGGAACACAAAGTGCTGTCTCGAATCTTCACGTACACTGCAAATACTGTTATCAATTTGTGAATATAATTTACGTATTTTACATTTGATTTACGTACTAGATATTTAATGTATTACCATTGATTAGAAGACACTAATCAGATTGTTTTGTATATTAACATATGTTCAACCAATCTTTATCCAATGCATATTTTTACTTAAATTAAGATTTATTAAGATAGCAAATGCCCGCTTAATCCCTCATTTAATTTTTATACCACTACTACAAAATCAAAATAAAAATCTTTTGCCATCTATCGTTTTTAAAACAAATACCGAATAGTGTCAATATACTTGTCTGTAGATTTGCTTCGTTTAGAAATTTTCAGACTATATGGCAGGTGTTTAAAATAGTTGCTTTTTGGAGGTCTAGTGTCTCTATTGATTGATGGAGTTCAACAGTGACGTCTGTTGTTGAAATTACCTTTCGATAATATACGATAGTGACGTTGTTAAATCGTCACATCCTGGAGATTTCAATTTTGAGGTCCGTCTATTTATCAAGTTATTCTGCTATATAGTATTTTGTAGGTTATGACTATGTCAATTATTTTTGCAGTTTTGGTAAACTCTTGGTACTTGGTACTCTGTCATATCTAGGCTGAAGACTGTAGCCTCATTTCGCTGTTGTGGTTGGTAGTAATTTATTGTTAACTTTAGCTCTTCTTTGATCGCCCACTCTCTGTTTAGAGACTATTATATCCGGAAATAGCTGGGTGAATTTACTATGTATGCCATGTACTTAAATAAGTATTTGTTTTGGTTTCCAGAGATATGTACGCTAAATGAATTCATTCATTAATGCCACGGCATAAATGGCAGGAGACTTGCCAACTCACCGACCGGGCCTCCGAGAATGGTTGCTAGTAATAGCAACGGAGCGACATTGGTTTTACGGTCAAAATCATGACTTGAATTGCTCACAGAAAAGTCGCTACATTACTAAAACAACTTGTAATTCTAGCTGATTCATTGGAATTTAACAGAATGATACATTTTTGCTCTTATCTCAAAAAGAAGAAGAAGAAGCCGTTTATAACCTATGTACATCTTAAATCATTTTATTATAATTTCCTTACTAACGTAAAACGCGTTAAATCTCTCGACATCCTTTAATAAAATTGCAACAAAAAATATATCTTAAAAAGTGAATGAATTGAAAATAAATACTGAGATTAAGTTATTACCTCGTTATCTGAATGATTAATCTCAAATTGATTGCGTACGTACCATTATCTGATTGATAAGAGATATCACAACGACACCACCGCGCACTAAGGGTATGCACAGAGTTACATTTTAATACATTCGCTTTAGTTTAGAGCGACAACTTCACTTTGCGATTTGGAATACATACAACATTTACTAGAAGAATAACTAGTATTTTAGTCGACAAACTAACAATTTTATTTTGGTATTCATACTATTTATATTGGTCATTTCACAGCGTTGTTTCTTTTTTCTATTCTTTCTTTAAATCACCAAAACTCCATATTCAGAGACCCAATCCTTCCCCTCCCATATCCTTTCTTAATCCCTAAATCCTCATAATCCATTAACTCTAAAATGCCGACAACACTTTTGTAAATCTTCTGGTGTTGAGGATATGCATAGGCGTCATTGCCTCTTTGAAAATACAAATATCGAGTTTCAAAGCAGTTTATTTGGTTTGCAATAAAATAAGTTTTAACACCTAAGTATTCCGCCACGAATGGTACTGAAGACCAAAGTAGACGGATTTTCAAGTGTTTCTAGGACGCGCGACGGTTAAGTGTTTAAGCGAATAACTAAAATTTGTTTCTTAATCTACAATGTTTATTGTACACATACAATCTGTTACGATTTTATACCTTTCTTATTTGACAGATTGTCACCGCACAACACCCTTTTTGTCATCTAATGACTTCTCCCGCTCAATGTAAGGCGAGAGAGACTGTCAGACTCTTACTGACTAAAAACCCCCCTTTCCTTCTCCTGCTCTGTCCGAGGTCGCGGTGCCTCATACTCATTCCGCTTGCCCTGCAACCCCGGCTGAACGTCAGCCCTATAGGGCCCCTAGGGCCCCGTCTGTGGTGGTCTAATGGCTCTTTGAGGCGCGCGGAACGCTACGCGCCGAACGCTCGGGTCTGGTTCTAGTCGGGCGGCGAGCTACCCTTACTCGCCGTCCGCAGACCTGCGCTTACGGTGGCCAGAGATCAGTTCTCGATCCCCGACGGCCGGAATGTCGCCTACTGCAGCGACTGGGGCGTGGGGAGGATATCCCTCACGCGCTCCGCCCCCTCCTTTACACAACACCCTACAACAAAACTTATAGAGAATTCCGATATAAAACTAAATATCACAAAAAATATAACCAGCATACCGTTTCTCAACGCACAATCAAAGAAAAACACGTCTGGAGTTTACCATTCAGTTCTAAATCACCAGTAAATCTAACTATTTTTAGCTGAATTTCAGTACATTACGAGCATTTACGTGAAGTTGCCGTCTGATCTTTCACTGTTACGATTCATCTGTATTTCTTTGATATGATGTCAGACGCTTAGATAAGAAGATAATGAGTTTTACGTAGATATAAATGTGTTATTAATATTATGGTATTTAATTATTGGTATTCGTAAAATTTATATTGGTAATTCCACAGCGTTGTTTCTTTCTTCTATTCTTTCTCTAGCCTTTCGTATGTCTTAAACGTGAATCCACGCGAGAGACAATGTATTTTCTATTGTGTCTTATAAACCGACATTCAACGGGTTAAATCTCCCAGACTCCATATTCATAGACCAAATCCTTCCCCTCCCTTATCCTTTCTTAATCTCTA